CATGTCATTCCTCATACTGATATTCAGATCCATCCAGACTTATCTTATGAGGAGCGACCGGTAGCTGTATTGGACCGACAGGTTCGACGGCTCCGAAAGCGTGATATTCCCCTCGTTCGTATTCAGTGGGATCGCCACGGAGCCACTTGGGAGGAGGAGGCTGATATTCGCGCTCGTTTTCCTGATTTTCAGTTTTGATGTATATATCCTTTCATATTTCATGTATATATGTTTCGTTTTGTATTTCCGAGGACGGAAATATTTTAAGGGGGGTAGGTTGTAATATCCCATCATGTTATTAATATAATATCATGTTTAGTTCCGGAATATCTGTTTTATTAAGCGTTATCGTTCGGAACTATTTATTTCAGTCAAGGATGTTCGAATTAATTTTTGAATATCACAATCATGTTTGGAATTTTTTTCCAATAATTAATTCATGTCAAAACGCTCGATAAATATTTTACCGAACTTAAGTCATTGATCACGTGCTAATGCTAATATGATCAGCCATTGAACGTTGTTAGTCGAGTAATTGCGCTTAGCGTCTTAGCGCACACTTAGCACGACTAAGCTATGATTAGCACTCATAACGGCCGATTGATTGGTCTTCCATATTTTCACGTGCAAAGTCATCATTAGTTGTACACTTGTAAGTTGTAGGTAAGATGATGAAATGACTAAGCCAAAGTTTGGGTGATTAAGCACCCAAACGCCACCCTCATGCGTTAGGCTCGCGCCACATGGTGCGTGGCCATTGGATATGAATTTTTCCCCAACTTTTCACCATTTTACCGTCATATTAAATCAGATGTTTGGGTGAGAGTGAGCTTATTTACTATGCAAAACAATCAACAAACACTAAGCCATATATTAGCTTAATTATACGCATCAAGCAAACACCTCACGCATACGTACGGATTGGAGAAAATCACAATCAGTTTGGTGAATTTCATCGAGCACTTGAAGAGGTAAATTCATCCTCAACCTCTTTTCATGTTAATAAGGTCATGTAAGGTTGAATTGTTCAGCTCATGTTCAATAATTTATAGATATGTCATGGTAAGGCTCGGTTTAGGCCATTATAGGTCATGACCGAGTAAAGTTCGATTCTATCCAGCAACTCGTGAACAATTCATGTTTATATGATCATTTTAGATCATTTTATACTCAGTCAATTCATCATGGTCGAAAAATTTTTGTGTTTGGTCGAGATTTTTGGCTTAAAGCCAAAGACCGCGCATGGTGCGCGTGTCCGCGGCCACACTCATGTTAAAGATCATGCTAGGTTTGATTATTGGGCAATTTAAGTGTAATTATTCATGTTAATTGAAATTAGGATATATTATTAAACTTCATGTTGAGTTGGCCGGAGAAAATCGTCGGACGGTCGACGAGGGACGGCCGTACGCGTGCTGTCCACACGTCGCGGCCGCAGCGTACCGGCGGGTGTACGGGATGCGCGGTCTAATGCCGTGTGCGATCAGTACCCACAACAGACATCTGTTGGCGGTGCGCAGCACGCTAACGCACAACCATGCACGCCAGCGCGCAGCGTCATGCATCAATGGTCTCGGCAGCGCCCAGTAGGCCGCCCCGAGTAGCCAGCAAGGTAGGGGTCGCATGGCAGCGCCCCGCATCGTGTCAGTCATGTTGTTCAGTGCGGTGGTGCGC